ATGAAATTTATACTTGAAGGATGTCTTTTTTTACTCATAATACGGAGTATGCTGAAACATCGTATTGTATACTATTGCAATGCTTAAATTGAACTGACCTAATTCGAACTGCACTGCACATTGAAATTGATTGTTATCTGTCAAATTGAACAATTATTGCCTTCGTTAATATTGTGAAATAAGATTCCTCCTATATTTGTGAGGTGTTTGAATTAAGGTTTATGCCGGCTGCTAATTTACTCTAAATGATTTATTCCAGTTTTCTTTTTTCTTTTTCAATACATATCACATATTACGTATCACATACCATTCAATTTTATCCCAGGACAACATTAATTTCATACACCATTATGTACTGCGACCATTTTAAAAAGAATGTCTGCACACTCTTCTAAAATAGATATCTATAATCTGCAAATACACTTTTATGATATGCCCATTTGATATTTACTTCGACAAAATTATAACTGATATATTGATTTCCATATTTTATATCTTTTGTTTCAGTAAATATTCAAATCGCATCTTCTTGTTGGGAAATATTGTTCATGTAATCTGATATACTTCGAGACTCCACGAAACCTCCTTCAAAAGCTAGATACATTGCTTTCGTTAAATGAGCAACGGCTTCTATGTCCATTCCTTTCAAATGCATCATTCGTCCACTAGCGAGGTGAAACATCATCTTTCTCCTTTTGCCAAAAAGGTCAACCACATTTTCAATTTCTGAAAGAAAACATTGCACCGTCTGTAAATTAACATTTTTAGGCTTAAGATACAAAGGACGACCATTAATGCTTAGGTCCAAGGCGCAAAACGACATTCTAAGCATAAAATATACTTTCCAATTAGCAGAGATATCTTCTTGAAGGTCACGGATCATCCGAAGACCATTGTATCCCATTTCTAGGTAATAAGTTTTCTTTTCATCTGTGGGAAAATGCTCGTAGTTGTGCAACAAAACGTTAAGATGTGAGTAGAAAAGATTTCCCGATTCAGGACAAGTCTCGCTGTTCAGCATAACTGCCATAATATCTTGCATTATCGAAACAGCCTCTGCTACTTTCCCACTTAAAGCAGAAACCTCAGAGATTCTGCAGTTAAGCAACGCCTCATTTATTACCGGATTTGAAGTGAAAGGAATTATGCGTCGTATCTCTGACATTAAAGCTTTTACGGAGACAAAATTATTTTTCATAAAACTAAAGTTATCCATCTCTACAGACAATACTGCAAAGTACTTGTCAGCTAATTTTCCTTTCTTTGAAATGTCTGTTTCTTCTATGAACCTTTCTCTGAAAAGCATAGCCAACCGTCTTATGAAAGCAACAGGATTTGGAATTATTCTTGAGTCCGATACACCTTTCAACTGTTTAACAAGCACATAAATCGAAGAACATCTTTTTACAGGTGCTTTCTGAACATGTAAAGAGATCGTTGAATTCCTTTGTCTTTCAAGAGCAGTCAAAAGCAAATTTGCAAATCTTTGATATCCACATTTTGACAGCGACCATAAGAGAGCCACAAAAGAGATTTTACTCGTCATGTATACAAGCACCCTTCTGTTGGTCGTTAATTCGTTTCGAAACGTCAACCTATCAAAATGTCTTTTTATATTTTTATAGATGTCGTCCTGTATGTACTTTGCTGTATATAAACAATGCATTATTCTAGAAACGTTTAAGTCCAAAACTAAATACTGAACGAGAATCTCGTTCACTACACCTGCTTCTAGCTCGTCCATTTGCGTGACATCCGGTCGACAACATCTCTTTAATAATTTAAGGTCAAGGTATTCCATTTCTCAATCGTGAACAACGCAACACTGATAAATGTAGAAATTATAATAGCATTTAATCCGCCAAAATATATTGATATATTATCGCATACACTGTCTGTATTTCTATTATATGCAACACGTTAAAGGGCCTTCATTTAGTTCGATCATGAAGTGTAAGACGATTGATTTTAGTCCGATTTGATCACGTGTTGTAACACAAATCAATTCATTTAAGTCACATGACTAAACCATTTTGTCATTCTTAGTAACTTTTCTGTTATGATTGAAGATTTAGGTCTTTTTTGGACTTTAGACTTTTTTTATCAAAGACAAAAATCGAAAATCCATTTGAAAATAACATTAATTGATATTGTATTAAAACGTCTGATCAAATCGAATTAAAAAAATCGGTCTACTTACACATCATTATCTCACTTAATTAGGAAGCCCTTTAAAGTTTTCGCATAAAGACAAGAATACATGTCGTATTACGTACAAACATAAATACATGTACACCTCTTCACGCACTGTAGATTTACTGTCATAAAAATGTAAAAACTCTGTTCTATTATATATAAAACACAAGTCTGTATCGTGTACAAGCTGTTTATACTATCTGAAGTGCTGTTTGATCAAACATTGTAAAAGTGTCATAGATTTTGTTAAACGGGCAATGAGTTTAAAATCATGATATACCTGTAAGTTCATGCTTACACTAGATAGATACCATTTGCTCGCTATATTTAGCTTATTACGTATCCTTTAGTGTCATTCAGATAAAAACTCTATTTCTCTCTATATATACATATTTTCAAAATATATTGAATTTATTACTGTATGTAAAACAATTTTCAGAACTAAAATATCATCATGAACATTTCTCTCTATGTGTACATTTAATAATGTAAATGAAAATTGATTGTAAGGGACTTCACTGAGGGTTTAAATAATGTTCTATTGGATGTAGTTATAGACCAAAGACTCCATTTTTCCAGAATAAGTAATATTATGAGAAATGACCCAAAATTGAAAAGCGTTGCAACGCTTTTCACCAAACTACGGGTTAGAATTAGCACAAAAAGTACGATTAACAATTAATTTCTAAGTATACTTCTTAAATATCATTTGCATAACTATCTATGTATTCTAAGTGCATTTAAGTACCAGACTTTTATATAGTCCAGGTTAATTACATTGCATTACATCTCCATGTAACATTAAATATTTTAGAAGACTCAACTCAACTCAACCACGCCTTGTAAAAGAGAAAATACTTTATAATATTACTTTAATTAATGAATATCTGTTAATTTTCAATCATTCTATTAAATTTCGCTTTAATCGTTTAAATTCAAACCGAGACAAGACTGTTTCATAAATAGATGATATTAGAAAAGTGTTACAGTAAATTTAATACTGAATGTATGGTACGAGTTGAATAATATCATGCGAGCCTCTGGTGAGCATAATATTTATTCAACAAAAAATTTATTAATGACACGTCAAAAAATATGCACGTTAATGAAAAATGATTATTTTCAATTCAAACAGTACATGTATTTGCATAAACGGCATGAGTTTGTAATAATTTCCGATATGTTATAGCTAACAACACATAATAACTCCGTTATTATCAAAAAAAAGGCTGTTTTAACCCTTTTGCTGCCAGAGGGTTATTGTGTTATTGTTCAATTATTTGCCAGAGGATTTTCTAAGAAATTACTATTATTATTATTATTATTTGTTATTAGCACAATAATAATTATATATGTTTCCAAATCTGCTAGTATTTTAATAATTATTGTCGATCGTATAATTTTCTTTATATTTGTTATTATTTTTATTATTATTATTATTAATTTATTATCATTACTATCATTATTATAGGAACGGCTAAAGCCGTCCCTATGGCAGTGAAAGGGTTAATCCAATAAACATAAATGTGGTACATAAAGCCATATTAAGATATATCTAAAGATATGTTTTACCCTTATTTAAACAAATTGGCCTTTGTGTTCAAACAAGATAATGTAATGTGTAATATTAATCAAGGCAAATTAGTGTTATACCAGGCGTTAATCAAATAATAATTCATTGAAGAACAAAACTATTATGCTTTTGATACGCACACGTCAAAATTTGTTATTGTACCGATTTTACACAATGCATGATTATATCTTACCTACAGATTCAAGGTTATTGGAAAATTAGAACATTAGACTTTTTTTTTGTTCGCAAAAATGTTCTGATTATTTAAAATGATCATTTACTTTATCATTTCATTAATTATGTAAGGTCTTTGCCAAATATGGTTGTAAAGTTCAATAGTTTGATTGTGTTAAAAGGATATCATGAAGGCATTGCTTCTGAACATATGTTTTCGATGTTTCGTTTTTGTAAAAAAAAAATAATTACACCTGTACTTGAGAAATCATCTTATCACATATAAACGGTTCGCCTTAGTGTTGTGCCTCTAAGTCTACAGATTTTCTTTTGTACCTTCGAAGCAGCAGTGTCCAAATTTGCGTCACTGCGACTTTATACATGCACACGATTTGAAGTATACTCTAGTCTATTGGGTTCATTAATCCCATTTCTTATAGACAAAGACTTAAGTGTTGTATAATGAAAAACGTGTAAGCGGAAGCGTGAGTGATCTTGCTCTTTTCTATATCATCATGAACATAACCAATCAGCAATGTGCTTTTTAACTTGTTATCTGGAGTGTTCTGCCCTGTTTATGGGTTTGGCAATCGAAACATCCCGGCTATTATTCACAATAACCTCGAACATTAATACCGATTGAAAGTAATTCTGAAACGTGATTTTAGATGTACGTGTAAAACATTAACAGAGGGTATAATATAATCTTTCATAATGTATAAGCAATGTTTGTATTTGATATCTGAAGAAAGATAAACTACTAGTATATAAGTCTATTTATGTAAAATAATGACTCGAAATATGTCTGATATTCATAATAAATTTATCAATGCCAAATGATGTACAATTATAACCAAATCTGAATTCTGTCAACGGGTAGACATCGTGTACTTTCGGTTTCTGCAAACATAATAAGTATATAAAAATCGTAATGTTTCACTTTTAGTTTAATATCATATGAATTTACTAGACCTTAACACGATAAAAGAATAAATTTAGTCATAAACTCCTAGCATTAAAGCATTAAAATACTTATATTTGTTTACATGTTTTGTTCCTTAGCATAGGTTAAACCGAAATACAGTATCCGTTTCCTGTATTTTTACTATTGTGTTCGAGGTTTTTATCCAAAGTTTGAAGGAAAGGGCCAAGAAGGAGTTGCAATTGTGGGTTGGATATACCCCTTCTGATCAGGTTTTTATCAATTGTTAAAAGATATAACAAGCAACAACAACAAAACAAACAACATATACTTGAGTATGGTATAAATGGATTACATTAAAAAAACTGATTTGTATTTGTCAAACGGTTAAAATACTGTAAAATATAAGTACAAATATAATCAGATAAATAGTTAGTTATTTAAGGTTATTTATGGTAAAATTTAATAAAATTTTGAAAGATTTTGGATATACAATTAATTCAGGTATTATCATCCTTCATTATATTCTATGCATATTTACCGGACGAGTCGTGATAAACAATAATTTATCTATTTTTACCAAATGCATGCCCACAAATATATTTTATTTCCGTTTATTCGATTAAAAATTATTCATCCACTTCACTTCCTGTCAGTAAATAAGAAATATTCTAAAGTTTTATACGCAGTTTATATAGTTTTTATATATCCAGCATGTTACCTATTTTTCAAAATAGGACATACTTTAGATAAACACAATCTTCCACAGTAACAAAGACTTGTATTTCATTTCCCTGCAACTAGAATGCTTTTATGGTATTCATCAATACTTTTCAACTCAATAAATTCGCCCTGCATAGCAAGCGCCCGAGCTTCCTTGAGGTATTCAGCCGCCTTTCTTTGATGACCTTGCAAATGTAGAAGACGACCAATTGCAAGTTTGTAGCACATCACCTTTCTTATACCATAAACGTTCACGACATCTTTAATCTCTGATAGAAAATACTGAGCAGTCTGAAGCATATTTGCCTCGACCGAAAGACACAAGGGTCGACCACTGATACTTAGACCAAGGACACAGAATATGATTTTAAGCGTGTAACAGACGTTCCAGTAGTTCATTATATCTACGTCAAGAACGCGTATAAAATGAAGACCATTGTATCCCATTTCTATGAAATGCTGTTTCATATCTGCCGTTGGATTTCTTTCGAAAGTTTGTAATAAAATGTTTAATGTCATGTAATACATATTACCTGTTTCTGGGCATGCCTCTGTTATATATATCACAGGGACCAGATCTTGCATCATCGATACTGCTTCATTAACTTCTCCACTTATAGCCTTGATTTCAGCAATCCTACCATTTATCAAAGCCTCATTCATTGTTGAGTTCGATGTGAAAGGCAACACCCGTCTTAATTCTGATACTAATGACCTAACAGAAACAAACTTGTTCGTCATGAAGGTGGAATTGTCCAGTTCCACTGCTAAGATTGCAAAATATCTGTCTGCCTTTTTTCTTTTATCATTTTGTTCTAAGGCAAACGTTTCTTTAAACCGTATAGCTAAGCGTCGTATAAAAGCAACCGGATTATCAAATGTTTTAGAATCGGATATTAATTTCAATTGTTTTACGAGTAAATGAATTTCTTTACTCTTTAGCACTGACGCTTTCTTTATAGGTAATGAAACAGATGACAATCTCGCTCTTTCTAGGGACGTAAGAAGCAAATTGGCAATTCTCTGATACCCGCTTGCTGACAATGCCCAAAGTAGTGCGACAAAAGATATTTTATTAGTTAAATAATTCGTAACTCTCTTGGTTACTTTTAATTCACCTTGATGTAATTTTGTTCCAATAACTCTGTCAATGTTTCTCGATACTTGTGCAGTAATATATCCACCTTTAGACAGGGCATCCGAAATGCTACAGATGTCAACGTCTATGATTAGAAACTTTAAAAGAATTTCATGAATGATTTCTATTTCTATCTCATCCATTTCATTTGCATCAGGTCGGCAGTATCGCTTTAATTTCCAAAGGTCGAGGTATTCCATTCTTGTTTGACCAAAAATACAACAAAGCCGGTGCTAGGGGGCGTGAGCGATGTTGCACTTTTTCATTATCCCTCATGTACAAGCTCAATAAAACCGTGTCTGCAATTTTTATGTAATTTTCTTGTGATAAATGCTTCCGATGGATAACTCTCCGGATTTGTTTTCCGAAATGAAGCAACGCCAATTGGTTATCCAGATATTATTTATGGCAATTCCTAGTAAAAGTAAAACAGGTCTGTAAAACCATTCCGCTCCCCCTTTTTCAACAATAGTTATTGACACTTGAACATGCTTGTTTTTCAAGTTCAAGGAGTGTTTAGACTATAATCCGAATTAATCTTTTATTTCAACAATTTTGCTGTTTGATGTAACTTGCGTATTTGATGAAAATCGTTTATGCATATTAATAAAACTGCAGTTTAACTTTGTAAATTCCAATTTTGCTGCAATTTTCGTTCAAAAGCAGACGAACACGTCTATAACAAAAGAAACACTATAAATATAAATTGTACTAATAATACAATAAAACATTTCGTGATACTATCATTATTACTATTATACTAGCTTTAAAGATCTTTTTAAAAGTGGTTTGAATTACATCTGTTAACAGGTATTTTGATGTATAGCATACTAAGGATTGTGATCGTGCCTTTACATAAATCATGAGGATATAAAAACAGCTGCAGAAAACATTCAACTTAATTATTTTTACTCATCTGAAAAAAATGCAGTAATTGTCTTGCAGTGCGTCTATCTGTCGTCTGGTATTATCTTATTATTGCGTACTCTTAAAATGACCTTGTTATAAACTAAACCTTCACTGAAGTGTATGTCATATACAGTCGACTAATACTAAATAAATATATATATAAATAAATAAATAAATAGATGAATAAATATATAAGGAACGAGGATATTTAATTTTGGCACTTGGTGCTCGAAATATTTTAGTGACTTTCTATGCTCAAATGGTATCAGCTCACTTATATTACTGCATGTTTGTAACATCACTTTATATTGTTTTATATACACGTTTGTTTTCAATATACATAGGGCCATATAACCTGTCAAAAATCTTCATAGCGAGCTCGACGAGCTGGTCCGAAGGGCCTGCTCGCAAAGCGAGCTTTACGGTAACGCGATTACCTGCTAATTAAACGATGATTTTGAAAACTTTCGTCCGAAGTACCGAATTGACACATCGCAACTTTTCGAATTACAAGATAACGATAAAAGCCGATGTACTCTGATTGAAAACAGAAGCGTAGACTGGTGTCCTGCGCACTTACATAGGAACCATAATAGAAAGGGGAACCAGAATAAACGGAAGCAGTGAATAAGATACCGAATGACAATTTTAAAACGGAAAATTTAAAATAAAAATTAACGATTATTTTTTTAACTATTTTACGGTAAAATAAAATTGAGCTCGCTTTGAGGCTTTGCCGGGCTGAACCGCTCTTAGATAACATGTATGACTTGAATAACTCAAATTAAAGTTACATTAAAATCAGTCAAGTAACTGGGCGTCGCCATTTTGAAATCCTTTAGAGCTAAAAATGAATATCAGTTCGCTTTTGAGCGTCTACGTAGTTCAGACTTTTGCTAGGAGACGCATGCCTACCGGTGAAAGAATGATGTACAAAATCAGAAAATAAACATAAATTTCATTGATAAGAACTACAGGAACGATGATCAATATAGAAATATACTTTTACATATCCTTTTTAATAAATCAACAAATATAACGTTAAAACAACAACTGTGATTAGAGATTAAGCAAATTGGCGGACGGGATTTTCCAAACGCTGACGCAGTTGTCCCCCTTTGCTTCGCTTCTTAGAGGCGTTCGGAGATTTACGGAAATATTCGGAGCACTGATGATGAACACCACTCTGTTTACGGTTCAAAATACCTGCATTTACTTATTTATGACATGTATGAAGTGCAAGAAAGATCTGGTTTGCATGTGCATTAAACATTATGCTTGAATAAAAACTCATAAGAGCTTTCCGCGCCATAGGTAGCACCTTAATTGATATTAATTAATAATATACATGTCAGTTGGCTCATAATACGTAGTTTTTAGTATTTACTTAAATGACATCATAGAAGAAATATGCGATATTTAGCGAGTTAATTTTTTCGTTGATTAGTTTTTTAGCAAAAAATATACGATGACTAACTAAGCTTTTCTAACGTGCACCAAATGCCGTGTATGTGCTTATTTAAAAGCAATATAAAATCATTATTTATTGACGTAGTTAACTAGTCCTTTCAAAACATGATGATAATATTCTACAAGGTATGCTGATAAAATTCCATTACAATACACGTTGACGTTCAAGAGATAATTAAAAATTCCACGAATTTTTAGATAACCCCCGTGTTATATTTCTCTCTCGATTTTATTAACTATCGCGCCAATGTTTTGTACCTGAATTCAAGCTATAAACATACAAATATAATAAAAACGTTTAAATGAATGTTAAAGTCATTGCAGTGCTCTTTTCTCAAGTGTCAAACCCGGCCCACTTTTGCGATTTGCGACTAGCTTTACTTGAACTCTTGTCCGTTTCTCCTTTTCCAGTATGTAAACGCGATATTATTCCTCTTGCCTTCGTTCTGCTAGTTTTCTGCTACTGTCGGCAACATCATTATCATTTATGAATGACTTAAAGGCCCATTATGCCTCAGAAATGCTAGCATTTTTCTTTGTTTTCCCCAAAATAGATTTTTTTGGATATCTTGATATGCTCTTCAAAAACATTCTCTTTATACATACTCTATATAGCCGACACAAGTCTCTTCAAGAAAACCGATTTATCTCCCGTTCACCATTGTAGGAAATTAAAGCAGCTATTACATCCCTTCGATAACTATCTCTTTTTTTTTCACATTAAAGCCTTTCGAGCGGAGACGGCAGTCTCTTTCGTTGTGTTTTTTACTGAATTAGTGTTTACTTGGACAATATAATGCACAATTAGTATAGAAGAGATTTTAGCATTGGATTGGTTAAAACATATTTATTTATGCTCGATTGCGAAACCAATTCTTGCAACTTATATTTATCACTTTCGAGTCTGCTTCCTGAAACAAACCAGTACTATAGTGTCATATCAAGAAACAATATCATACCCGGTTAATGCTCGAACGCATGATCCCTGGGTTGAGAAGCTGACACTTTAATCACTAGGCCATCGCTCCTTTGCCACCAGTAAAAAACCAACAAGCCTTTGCCATCAGTATAAAAAGGATAACAATTGCCACCGGTATAGAGATTATTAACCTTTACAACAAATATACAGTTATTAGCCTTTGCCACCAGTATAAAAGTGATTAGCGTTTACCACCAGTATAAAAGTGATTAACCTTAACCTTTGCCTCCAGTATAAAAGTGATAAGCCTTTGCCACCAGTATAAAAGTGATAAGCCTTCACCACCAGTATAAAAGTGATAAGCCTTTTCCACCAGTATAAAAGTGATTACCGTTTGCCACCAGTATAAAAGTGATTAACCTTAACCTTTGCCACCAGTATAAAAGTGATAAGCCTTTACCATCAGTAAAAAAGTGATAAGCCTTTACCACCAGTATAAAAGTGATTAGCCTTTGCCACCAGTATAAAAGTGATAAGCCTTTGCCACCAGTATAAAAGTGATAAGCCTTTACCACCAGTATAAAAGTGATTAGCCTTTGCCACCAGTATAAAAGTGATTAGCCTTTACCACCAGTATAAAAGTGATTAGCCTTTGCCACCAGTATAAAAGTGATAAGCCTTTACACCCAGTATAACAGTGATAAGCCTTTACACCCAGTAAAATAGTGATAAGCCTTTACCATCAGTATGAAAGTGATTAGCCTTTGCCACCAGTATAAAAGTGATAAGCCCTTTTTTACCAGTATAAAAGTGATACGCCTTTGCCACCAGTGCCTTTGCCACCAGTATAAAAAGTGATTAGCCTTTGCCACCAGTTTAATAGTGATTAGCCTATGCCAGCAGTATAAAAGTGATACGCCTTTATCACCAGTATAAAAGTGATTAGCCTTTGCCACCAGTATCAAAGTGATAAGCCTTTGCCACCAGTATAAAAGTGTTTAGCCCTTTGCCAGCAGTATAAAAGTGATAAGCCTTTACCACCAGTATAAAAAGTGATAATCCTTTACCACCAGTATAAAAGTGATAAGCGTTTTCCACCGGTATAAAAGTGATTAGCCTTTACTACCAGTATAAAAGTGATAAGTTTTTACCACCAGTATAAAAAGTGATTAGCCTTTTCCACCAGTATAAAAGTGATTAGCCTTTACTACCAGTATAAAAGTGATAAGCCTTTACCACCAGTAGAAAAGTTGATTACCCTTTGCCAGCAGTATAAAAGTGTTTAGCCTTTGCCACCAGTAGAAAAGTGATTAGCCTTTGCCAGCAGTATAAAAGTGATTAGCCTTTACCACCAGTTTAAAAGTGTTTAGCCTTTACAACCAGTAGAAAAGTGATAAGCCTTTGCCACCAGTATAAAAGTGATAAGCCTTTACCACCAGTATAAAAGTGATGAGCCTTTTCCACCAGTATAAAAGTGATTAGGCCTTTGCCACCAGTATAAAAGTGATTAGCCTTTACCACCAGTATAAAAGTGATTAGCATTTACCACCAGTATAAAAGTGATTAGCATTTACCACCAGTATAAAAGTGATAAGCCCTTTCACTAGTATAAAAAAGTGATTAGCCTTTGCCAAAGCAGTTATAAAAGTGATTAGCCTTTACCACCAGTATAAAAGTGATAAGCCCTTTGCCAGCAGTATAAAAGTGATTAGCCTTTACCACCAGTATAAAAGTGTTTAGCCTTTGCCAGCAGTATAAAAGTGATTAGCCTTTGCCACCAGTATAAAAGTGTTTAGCCTTTGACAGCAGTATAAAAGTGATAAGCCTTTACCACCAGTATCAAAGTGATAAGCCTTTTCCACCAGTATAAAAGTAATTAGCCTTTGCCACCAGTTTAATAGTGATAAGCCTTTGCCAGCAGTATAAAAGTGATAAGCCTTTACCACCAGTATAAAAGTGATAAGCCTTTTCCACCAGTATAAAAGTGATTAGCCTTTGCCACCAGTGTAATAGTGATTAGCCTTTACCACCAGTATAAAAGTGATAAGCCTTTTCCACCAGTTTAATAGTGATTAGCCTTTGCCAACAGTATAAAAGTAATAAGCCTTTGCCATCAGTATAAAAGTGTTTAGCCTTTGCAAGCAGTATAAAAGTGATAAGCCTTTGCCACCAGTATAAAAGTGATAAGCCTTTGCCACCAATATAAAAGTGATTAGCCTTTACCACCAGTATAAAAGTGATTAGCCTTTACCACCAGTATAAAAGTGATAAGCCTTTTCCACCAGTATAAAAGTGATTAGCCTTTGCCACCAGTATAAAACTGATTAGCCTTTACTCCCAGTTTTTAATAGTGATAAGCTTTACCACCAGTATAAAAGTGATTAGCCTTTGCCACCAGTATATAAAAGTAATAAGCCTTTGCCACCAGTATAAAAGTGATAAGCCTTTGCCACCAGTATAAAAGTGATTAGCCTTTGCCACCAGTATAAAAGTGATAAGCCTTTGCCACCAGTAAAAAAAAGTGATAAGCCTTTGCCACCCGTATAAAAGTGATTACCTTTGCCACCAGTATAAAAGTGATTAGCCCTTTACCCCCAGTTTAATAGT